GAAAGGCATTACCCGTAAAAATGGGAAGATGACAGAAGCAAACTCATCAGCAGGACATCTTCATAAGCAATAGAATTGGTCATAAACAGGAACGGCAAACTTCAAACGAACCCAACAGAAGGAATGAAAAAACATTCAAGTGGACATAAAGAAACACTCGGAAAGGGCATTCAACATTCTATGAAAAGGAAGAAATCCATGTTCAACTCCACGCACACACAAAGGATGCGGTACATGCATTTAGGTATCCAAATTGCAAAAGAAGAAACTAGAGTTATTAATTCCAAGAAAAGGAAATAAAAAAAAAGAAAACAAACAAAGGCATCTGCCGTGTGAGGTTCTTACCATATAGATTCAGCTGAAGCTTCGTACAGTTGTCCCATGAACAACAACAATAACACTCCGCACTCTTCAGACAGAATTTGAAGGCAGAATAATAAACAGAGTCCGACAAGAAAGCAACAAGAGATAACGTCTGAATCTGAGAGAGATATCCTTCGCCAAGGAAGATTAAGGAGCAGGGACAAAGACAACTGACGGTTATTCGGCTGCTCAGAAGTCACCCCGACTTTTCTTCCTAAGAATATTTACTGCCTTTTGCCGTTCAGTAGTTCCAAGCAGGACTAGTACCTATTTTTTGTTTCTCAATATTATCTCGGCTTTGCTTCTTCGATTGCGGAGGAAAATCCTACTGATTTTTCTCCTTCGTTTTATTTATTTATTTATTTATTTTTGGGTCTTTGGTTTTTGTTTATCAGGAGGGGGAAACTGAGAGGCATAAGAGTTACGGGTTAATAATGTCGGCTTGCTTCGGTTCCACTTCTTAACAAAGATTTGATAAAACACTGCTGCTGCTGCGGTGCCTGCTGGTGGATTATTACTTATCTGTCCAACTCTTTTTCTTTAACAACAAGCGTCTAGTCATTTACCACGTTTGGCCCACTCCACCCCTCTCCCCGCCCACCTACCCGCCTCAAGAAATATGATGAATTCGCAGAAGAAAAGAAAGAAACAAGCCTGAAGAATATCAATCCGTCATTGTAGCCAAGTATCGAATTTGTCTCTCGAGGAATTGTACACCTCAGTCAGGTCCACGCAATTTCGGAACAGTAAGAAGAGACGGGCTTTTTCAGTTTTCACTTCTCCTCGGCCGTACCTGGTTGGCTACGTGTCCAAAATTGATGCCATGCTATCCTTCTTTGTTTCACGTCGCTGGTAAAGAGAATTTTTTTTTTATTTAAAAAAAAAATATTCAGAAATTGACTGCAGGGACCTCTTTCTTTCACGTCAAAGTATACACGGATGAATCGAATTAATTAATATGACAAGGACTCACAGCCACAGGAGGCTTTTTTTTTTTGGGAAGGAGTCTCAACTCTCAAGAGAGTTATTGATATAGATGCCGTGGACGATGCTGTAAGATTAAGTCAGTTCCAGTAGAAGTGTGTTGAAGTTTAATTACAGATTATAATCACTTGGTAATCACGTCAGCTTCAACTCCATGCAACCGCATTCTACAATAATTATTGCGATGCAAAACGGATGTCTCACGCAAGCAAGAGGAATAGAATTGGCATTGGTGGTGGCTCCACTGTAAATCTTCCATCTATTCGTTGCCCTCTTTCTAAAAGATGATGATGATGATGATGAGGATGATGGCAATAGCCAATACAGCCAAGTACACTTTTTATAACTCGTCCAGCACACTTTGCATTGGCTCAGTAAGTAGTATTAGTAGATACAAAGCAGCTGAGGTTCGTGCCCTAATTTGCTAATCCCAAAAGTTGGAGCAGCTTTGGTTTTTTGTTGTTTAACTAACTTTAAATTGCGGCATTAGTCACTAGTGAGTTTGTTTGGACAAAAATAATTTGGTTTGCAAAATTTATTCTCACAAATCCCAATCACCTCTTTATCTTCCCAACCACCTTTTTATCTCGCATACCACACATCACAAAAAATGCTAATATCTCAAATAAATCATCCAAATAAACTCTTATCCAAACAAACTCACTTCCCTCCGCATAATACTACTTTATTGTGCAAATTCTAATGCCATCCGAGTCCTTCGTTGTTCTTGCCTTGTTTGACTTTTCTCTTTTGGCGTCCACATCCTTCTTGTTCATGACAGAATACAATTACATGTCAAATTGGCTACCACAATCGCCACCCTCAAACCACCACCCCCCCCCCCCAAAAAAAGGAAGAAAAAAAAATCATCTAATAATAACATGTCAAAATGTTCCGCTCATGATTATTACTATTATTTCAACTACTTCTCCAACTTGTGTATTGAGCCTATGTTAAAGGCAGCAGCATCTAATTAAAACAACAACCAAATCCATGACAAAATTCACAAGGCAATGACAAAGTCAATTTTACTTTTGGAGAAAAATAAATGAGGGATCCGGCCAAATGGGAATTTATGCCGGTTTGGATTGCTTTTTTTTTTTTTTTGGAAATTTTTGTACAAAAATATACTATAACAATTTAATGTACGTGAGATAAAAAAATGATTAACAATTATGTTCATGAAAACGTAAAGAAGAGTGGTGAAGTCGGAATCCTTTATATCAGGATAAGAGACTAAAAGGTAATCCTTACTTTCATTTGTTTTCTCAATCTTTGCCTTGAGAGTTGTTGAAGCCACATTGAGGCTAATTAAATTTTTTGTTAGTCTTAAGAGCTCCTGTTGTCGGACAAAATGAATTGCTACTATAAGTCTTTTCGCACGGAAGAGGGGTAGGAACGGTTATAGGAAGCAATCGTTCCTGAAGATTTATGGTCAAGATTTGACCAAAAAAATATAAGGTCTAGATTTTATTTTATACATTATTTTTTATATCATGTGTGAGACTCACAAAAATTTATTTTATAGTTATATATTGTTGAAAGTGAGTTATACTATATGCATATCAAATTACTATATATTTTGCACATTTTACACAAAATAACTCAAAACAGTTTTTTTAATGACTATTCGGGCCCTTGTCCCGTCTGCCCAAAAGGGGGAAAAAACTCTTTATAAAATTTGAGCCTTTTTTGAAGTGTTGTGTAAGCAGACGTCATTTGATTAATGAGAACGTGGGCTTTGAATGAGGTAGAGGAATCTTGAAACTCAAAGACCCAGAGCAGCTTACATTGGGGACTCAGGAGGAACTTCTATGCAGGTTCGGGGCTTCGTCACCCCAAAACCGGTTCAAAATTTGAAGGAAAGGAAAGAACCCGGAAGGAGAAAGCCAGGCCCAAACAATAAAGGTCAAGCCTCGTGAGCCTTGTACACTCCAAATTCTCTTGCCCTACTATGAATAAGATACTAATAGTAAGACTAATACGTTCAACTGGAAAGCGGAAACGGGGAATTGACGAAATCCGCATTGTAAGAATAATTGCCAGATGCTATAGTTATAATAATAATAATAAGCCCCACGACAATCATCACAGAACATGCAAAAATTAACCCCAAAAAAAAGATAAATAAAATAAATACTAATACTTGAGTGCTGCCAATTTATTTATTTTTTATATAAATTCTATTCTATACCTACTCCTATCCTATTCTACACTAAGAGAAATAGATGGACCTAAGAGACTAAATGAAAAATTCAGAAGAGACTGAATTTTCACCGAACAAGATCGATGTCTTTGCACTGGCTGATAAAATTTTCAATAAATTCTAGACAAAAATATAGAATCCTTTAACCTACAACATTCAAGGAGAGATTTAAAACTCTCCTAGCTAACTGCTCTTGTGCTGCCAATCGAGTAGGAAGATTAGTACTCAATTGACATTTTGTCCCTTGAAGCTGGGGGTTTCCTTCTTCAGGATATGGATATGGAACGGCACGACAACAACAAAATTCAAAATGGACGACTCCAATATATAAATAGGATTATTATCACTTTATCCCCTTAACGTTTGATGTTATTATTAATTTCTCCTTTACTGTTATATTTTAATCACTTTATCCCCAAGACTAACGGTCAAATTTAACGGAATTTGTTAACTAATGTGAAAAGACATGTTTAACCCTTAAAATTATTATCACTTTGCCCCCATAAACTATAGTTCCAGTATCAATTTACCCCATAAAGTTATTTTTTAGGTAATTTATCTTACCATTAAACCAACTTAGCAACTTAAAAAACTTTAGAAGAAAATACCCTCTTATTTGCATAATAAAAAATTTAGAGTGGTTCTTCTCTTTTTTAGTATAAAAAAAAAGTCAAAATATTAACTTCTTTATTCTTGGCAATCTTATTAATATCAAAAAAAAAAAAAAAAGAAAGATGGAAAGGGGAAGGGGAAGGGGAGAGGGAGAGAGCTCAATTCTTTTTTTTTTTTAAATTACAAATAAGAAAGAATTAAATACTTTTATTATTTTAAAATTATTTCACTTTTCTTTTTACTACCAAATTCCAATTCTAATCCTGACAATCTTAATGTAATACGATGATATTATACTTTTCTTTATTTTCTTTCTTTACAAAATCTTATTTTCTTTGTTCTTATTTTCTATCTCTTTTTCTTTTCCTAGTATCAATAAGTGTGAAAAAAAGAAATTTGAGAAAACCCTTTTAATTTTATGTTTTTTGATCTCTTAAAGTGAAAAAAAGGAAGAATAACCATTCCAACTTTTTTATTTTTAATGATATATAAAAGGGTATATATTTAAAATTTTTTGACCATACTAGTTAGATTAACGATGAAGTAAAATGCCTAGAAAATAATGTTAAGAACGAAAGTGATTGTATCACTATAATCTAAACGAATAAAGTGATAATAACAATGTAATAATGCTATAAAATAAAAGGGTACTTTTGTTCAAAATTTTTTAACATGTTGAGTTGAATTACTTATGGGGGTAAAGTGATTAAAAGATAACATTAGAGGGTAAACTGATAGTAGTGATATAGTTTAAGAAGGTAAAATGATAATAACCCTGTATAAATATATATAGTCCTTGTGTGATACTGTAGTACGTTGTGCAGGACATTGGTGGCGTGGCGGGGCTCACTAGGATCCAGAGAGAGACGGAGGGTAAAAAGAGTAGCAAGTAAACCTTCTTCTGGTATCGGAACTGGTGGTGAAAGGGCTGGAAAAATACCTCTCTCTCTCCATCTGGTTTCCTGGAACCCACTGCCCACTTGCCGGGGTAGCTTCTCCTGACCTTCCCAGTTGCAGACTTTGAGAAGCATTATAGTGCTAGTACTGGGGCAGTAGTAACACCATGTACTGGTGGGTGCATAGACAAGGAAACCCCATGGCGGCTGCTGCTGTTGCTGCCGCCTCTTGATTTGAGTCCTAAATTTCCCACCCTCAAAAAGGTTCTCATAGTCTTATCGCATCATCAGTATAACGCATCATCATTCATGACTCGCAACCTCCAAAAATAAAAAAAGTCAAATCATCTTACCAATTACTACTAATGTTAAGTGTATACGGTTTGTATTATTAGTTATTACTACAACAAGAAGTTCTACTTCATTCCCAATCTCCCACCACCAATGAACACCTCGTCATTTATTGACGCCTAGCCTACTGAATTTTGTTGCTGGGCATCATCCAATCAAAGCCTCTGAATCCCTCGCTCTCTCCCTTCAGAGAGGTCCTCTAGATTCATTGATATGCATCGTCTGATTTTTTTCTTCATCGTTCATCTGTCTCTGCAAACTCAGCTCATTTCTCTCCCCGTCTTTGCCCGGCAACTCCCCGGCCGCACCCTCCTCCAGAACCCCAACGCCACCTCCCCCTGCCCCCTCGACTTTAATATCCTCCGCCAGTTGTTCCAGGGTTCCACTCGCCGCAACTTGGACACCTCCACTCAGTGCCAATACATCCGCCAATCCCTCCGACTCGTCCTCTCCGACTATCTCAGGCGCACCAACTCCTTCCTCCCTCCTCTCAGCTCCGCCGACTCCTGCTGGCAGGCTTACCAGTCTTTAGTCAACGAATTCGTCCCCAGCATGGACATCCGCCGATCCTGCGGCTTCCAGACTAGCTGGATCTCCGAGGGCTGCATGGGCATCAACACCCGCGCCCAGTTCGAGTCCACCGTTTCTCAATCTGCCCTCCACGACGTTGTTTCCAACTGCAACCAGTCCCTCGAGAACGGCTCCCCTTGTGCCGCGTGTACCACCAGCCTCTCCAGCCTCCTTGCCTCCTACCTCACCGGTCCCTCCGTCGGTAACCTCACCGACTGCACAGCCTACGGCTCCATTTACGCCGCCGCCTTCGCCAACCAATTCGGGCCCACTGACAAGGGTACCGCCAAATGCTTGTTTTCCCTCGATTTCGCGGCCACCAATTCCAGTAATAAGCGGAAAAGGATCGAAGTTAGCGTGATTGTGGTGGTAGGTGTCGTGGTTCTGGTCGTCCTTTTTTCCGGGCTCTGGTTCTGCCGTCAAAGAAGGAAAAGGAAAATAAAAGCCAGCGAAAGATGGAAATTAAGCCAGGCAAACTCAGGTTCTGGCCCCGCCGCTTCTGGGTTGGATTCAATAAGTGGGAGCACTAATTTAGTTAGGTTCACACTTGACGAAATTAAGGCTGCCACCAACAATTTTTCGAGGGAGAACATAATTGGAAGAGGAGGGTATGGGAACGTGTACAAGGGTGTGTTGCCTGATGGCTCTGAAGCGGCATTGAAGAGGTTCAAGAATTGTTCTGCTTTCGGGGATGCCACTTTCACGCACGAGGTTGAGGTCATTGCCAGCATTAGGCATGTCAATCTCGTAACTTTGAGAGGGTATTGCGTGGCTACCGCTCCTTATGAGGGTCACCAGAGGATTATTGTGTGCGATCTGATTATGAATGGGAGCCTTCACGACCATCTATTTGGATTGAATGCGAACAAGCTCAGTTGGCCAACTCGTCAAAGGATTGCACTTGGGACGGCGAAGGGCTTGGCCTATTTGCATTACGGTGCACAACCTGCCATAATTCACAGGGACATCAAAGCAAGTAATATACTTTTAGATGAAACCTTTGAGCCTAAGGTGGCAGATTTCGGATTGGCTAAGTTTACCCCGGAGGGAATGACTCACTTGAGCACTAGAGTGGCCGGCACCATGGGATATGTGGCACCTGAGTATGCTTTATACGGGCAGCTAACTGAGAGGAGTGATGTATATAGCTTCGGGGTTGTGCTTCTTGAGCTTTTGAGCGGGAAGAAAGCCATTATAGCAACTAACGATGGCCAGCCTGTTGTTGTCACTGATTGGGCTTGGTCGTTGGTGAGGAATGGTAGAGCGCTAGATGTTATAGAAGATGGTATGCCTGAAATAGGTCCTCCAGAAGTGTTGGAGAAATATGTGCTGATTGCTGTTCTTTGCTCACATCCGCAATTGTATGCTCGACCAACCATGGACCACGTTGTGAAGATGTTGGACACTGACGATGTGCCTGTTCCATCAGTGCCTGAACGTCCAATTCCTCTTACTGCTGATATTGATGATATCCAGAGATCTGCCAGTAGTAGTGGCTCTGGTCATCTGTCAACCGCTAATGGTTACCAGCCATACACACTGGAGAAAGAATGCTCCGAGACGCCCAAGGAAATTCAAGAAAGCCCTCTTAGGAGATAAAAAAAGGGTTATCGTGATTCTCTGTTATTTTTCATCGGAAATTGGCAGAAGGCGCCTATACTGGAATTTTCTTTCCAAAGATTTTTTTGGCCTAATTCTTTGCTCATTATTAGATTGTGCGATTCTGAAAATCAGAATCACTAACACGTTAACATCTACCATTGTACAGCGTATAGTGTAGAACCAATGTACATATTTGACCCCCAGAGTTCAGACTTTCCAAAGAAGGAACGATTGTTTTCCTGCTGTACCCCAAAAAACATCATCCCACGTCCATCTTGATCTCTTTATGCCTAAATATTAAATTGGTGATTCTTCATTTCGCCGCAATCCATGTCATAACAAGCTTCACCTTTATAATCAGTAAATCTAGCTGGTTGCTGGCTTGCTGCACAAATCCACTCAGAGAGAATAGAACGGAATGAGACTCAAACCATCACGAAAGCTAAACGGTTGTCACGACCGAGGAAGCACATAAAACTGGAAAGTTATCTATAATTCAACCTTTGAGGTATTGCCATTTTCTGGCTAGCTACCGAAGGTTTCTGTACCCCTGAGATTCCGATTTCATTCTCCGTGCATTCAGATGAACTGAGGGGGAAAACGGAACTAACTGAAGCTGGTGTTGTGGCCTCTCGCTGGTCTTTTCAGCTAAGTCAGATCATTTAATCAACCTCATGCAGTTTGGTGAATCCTACTAATAAGAATGGGACTAGGATAAAAGACAAGAAACCCCCTATGGTTTCGCGAAAAAATATCTTACCTTCTATTATTTAGAAACCTCCACATAAACACTCTAAACTTCATAATTAAAATGAAAATTACCTTCTAAACCGGCTAAATTACCGGCTGCAGGTCGAATATCTAAACTACCCTCATTTATAATAGAGAAGGAGAGAGAATCCCCACAATCTTGTCTAGTAAGCACTGCCCAATTTTCTTATAACATCCAGAGGAGCGAGGCTACAGGAAAGAGTCCCTTTGAACTGGCCACCAGAAGGCAGCCCTTAACCCCAGATGCCATTGCCAGCGGATATACCCCCCGGGGGGGGGGGGAATACAAATTCGCGAAAGGAATGCAAGAGGAGACTGAACTTGCAAAAGCTACCTTGAACAAAGCAAAGAAGTTCCCGGTCAAAGGAGTGTCATCGTAAGGGTTGATGGTAAATGTCAGTTTGCTTCGACTGTGCTTTAATGCCTTTCAGCTTCTTTAGTATGTTTGCGAAGTAATCCTGCAGATATTTCTCTAGTGTGATGATGTCTTTTGCATCGACACCAAGAAGTGAATATGTCTCGGCCATTGCCACTGAGAAGACGGTATCACTTGTTGTGAGTGCCTAGGGATGTCAAAACAGAAGTTGTCGAAGTTGCAGCATCTGGTCAAGAGATATCCACTCGTCCGTTTCAGCTTGTGATTGGTCGTGTATGGAAGGGAACAGCATTTGGTGGTTTCAAAAGTCGTTCCCAAGTACCTTGGCTTGTAGACAAGTATATGAAGAAGGTTGGTTCTCCAGAATCTGCATAGCACGTTGCCAGAGCTTTTTATTGTTTCTCTTTTGTCCTGCTTACTGTTTCTTCATATCGCAGGAGATCAAAGTAGACGAGTACGTCACCCACAATTTGACGCTTAAGGAGATAAACAAAGCTTTTGATCTGATGCATGAAGGTGACTGCTTGCGCGTTGTGCTTAGTGTGTTCGAGTGAATGAAACAACTTTGGTTGTTTTGGGTTGTCAGTTTAATAACATTTGAAGCTCTGAACTTTGATACCCTCTGTCACCTCTTCTCTTTGAGAAGTTCCAAAAGGGAAGGGGGTGGAACTCTTCTGATGATTTTATCCTCTAAATTTGTTTTGTTACCAAAGTCCCCCTTTTGTTGCTGTTAGACATTTTGGCTTTTGGCGGCAGATATCTTGATGAATATTAATGATCCGGCAAAATATGCCGTGGTTTTATCTTGATGAATGGTTCTCCCTGGCCCGATTTAGAGAAAGAACTTTTCTTTTGCTTGCGAGAGAATTTAAGTGGGTGGATGATTGGTTGACAGGTGTCTAGCTAACAAAGAACCCGACAAAAACTAATACAGTAGCGCCCTAGCTAACCTCGCATACCGATCGTCACTATGTCTCACCGCCCCGTTACAGGTCAATTTTTACTTTAGTTACGAAGTTTAGGATATTTATATGAAGATTTTTAAACGATAGAGAAATAAAGTGTCTTTTCGTGAAATCGCAAGGGATTCTTTGTATTTTACTCATGAGACTATGAGGAAACATCAGCGAAGATAAAACGCTTGATTCCCCTATCATGGTGCTTTCACCTTAACCTGGTCCTTAATCATATCAAAGGCGTGAATCCGGGCAGGAGGCAATGAGATCGCAGGTTTGAAGATGAATCTGCTAAAATATATGTCATCTCCAAAGTCATTATGGTCTTCTAATATATTCTTAGCATAAAGGATCCATTAAGGACTTAGGCCTTGTTTGGTAGACAAATTTTTTGCCAAGTTTGTCAGTTACAATTTTTTAAAAATTTTAACTATAGTAACCTTAAAAAATTTTTCGAAGTTTTTAAACTATACATTTCAAAATATTTAAAATTTTTTTTAAAAATTTCTATAGTAAATTACAGTAAAATTTTAGACAAGCATCTAAAAAGCTCACTTGCCAAACGAAGAATTTGGGAAGAGTTCATGTGTTTGGACTGAAATACTAGGCTTCTAGTTCCCATTTCCTGACTGACCATATCGCCGTCTTAGTAAATCACTAGATTGAAGTTGCGAAACCTTGGGTTTTGCATTGGAATTGGATCGCAAAACTGACTGAGGCCATGTCTTCAATGTCTGGATGATGTTTCTTGGAGGCCTAATTTACTTTTCCACCAACAGAGCCAGACTTGTGTACTGGTGAATTGATCAATTATTGTGATCCGTCAGGCCACGAAAAAAGTAAGAAGAAAAAGGAGGGGTGATCCGTACTTAATGCAAATTTTCTTGCACGACCCAAACGAAATGTGTGGACCCAGGCTGTTACTTTCCTGGCCTCCGAAATGAACAAACACAAGATGTCAAATGCTTTGGCCCAACAAAATAAATGTGTAGTCCCTACTAAGGAAGGAAGAAACAAAATTAAGCATTTATTTTTGTCAGTGTTATTGTGTAAAACAAGATGAGAGTCACCAATGAGCCTATTATCGTAGGCAAAATGATGAGGACCGCAAGAGTCATTTTCAACCACCAAAAGGGGGAAAAAAAAGAGTTACTTTCTCAATCAACATCTTCAGCAATCGCTAAGGCACTCAGGGCCTGCTTGGTAATTCAACTTAATGTCATTTTTCTTCAAAAAAAAAAAAATTTTCATCTTTTTCGTGAATACATTTTTCAATTATCTTTTTATTTTAAATATATCAAATTGTTATAATATATTTTTTTACAAAAACTTCAAAATATAGCAATCAAAATGGTATCTATTTCATTCAAAACTTTTGAACTCATCATGTTTGAAAGCTGAAATGGCTAGCCACTTAATATATTAAACACAATTTGTATACAAAAATTTTAAGTTAAATTTTTTTATTGAATTTTCTAATTTGATCATATATATTACACTTCTCACGGATATAACACACTTTCATATATACTCTTACACAAAGTATACATTTTGCTCTCATCCGTTCGACATACACACACATACACACTTAAGTACTATCTATCAATTATTTAATTATTTTTCTCACATAAAATACTTTTCTTTCTCTTCAGATACACAAATAAAGACAAAATTTTAAAAAGATGAAAATATAATATTTGTACAATATTTCAATATAGTGTACAATTTAATTAATTTTCAAACATATATAACTTTATTAACTTAGCAACTAAATACTTTCAACATTTAATTTTCAGATTTTAGAATTCAAATTATAGGCTTTAGTTTTACCAAACAAAAGTTTGGGACATAAATTCTCTTCCATTATAGGACGGCAGCCCTCGGAGTATTAGTTATCACTTATCACAATCACTTTCCCCAATCAAAAGTGCAGAGGAAAAATTTTCAGCAATTTTATTCCCCGCTCATCATGGCTAATTCCTTAAAATATATGTTAAAAAAAAAAAAATTCCGCCAAATGCACTTCTGACACGAGGTGTTGCTCCTTTTTTACGTGCCGTGCTGATTCAGTACGGCCGCAAAATTAAAATCCCTCCCCCGCCAACCACACTGTTGCAGACGTTTGCAGAGAGAGCTCAGTCGCATCTATGCTGACTGGGCACGGCTGCCGCAGACACAAAGCCTGTTGGAAAAGAATCCTCGCACTAAGTAGAATTGGCAACTGGTTTCGGACTTATACCGCTTTAGTTGGTAACTGTTCTTTTGTGTCTTGTACATTGGTAGGGATACACCAGTGTAATTGGAATGTTAAATTCCTGCTGTATAAATAATAATAATAATAATAAGAATCCTCTGTTATTGGTGAAGGGCCATTGTATTCTCTTATTGGCAGATAGTCATTTAAACCACTTGTTTAGCAATGAGGTCTATGATTGGTGTTATTCGATAAATGAAATTTTGATTTTTTATTTAGCAGGTCAACATCCATTTACCGTCCAAATTTTTATTTGGTAATTGAATATTGGCAATTGGAGTTTTCTAATATATATCAGTGAAGTATATGTAATATGTAATTAATAATATAGAAGTTATTAATGTGTTAATATGTCACTAACTAACATCATATACATTTGTCCATTCGCATAAATTATAACTTATAAATTATTTAATTAAAATATCAAATTTGGTAATTCGATCGGTAATCGGAAATCAAATTTCAATATCCATTTCCAAACTTACCAAATTTTAAAAATGAATTGCTGAATTCAGTTTTATAGATATTGACTTCCGAACTAAATTGGATCAAAGTGTGAACATTCCGCTCTTTAGCACCTTGTACTTTTGGCGTATGCTATCTAGTACAAATGAAAATTATGAAGAAACTCCTGCAATTGAAGTATTTCAATAAACAGTAATGGAAAGCTTGTATAAGGTTATATACAAGAATTGTAGGAAAGGGAAATCTACACAAGAAATTAAAGTCTTAATGTTCATTGATTTCACAATCAACAGATTATGATGGTTCATGTTCCAAAATCATTCTAGAAAAATGATATACCCGTATTTTCGGTTAAAATTTTCTTCTCATTTATTTTTCCCATTTTCCTTTGTTTCTTTGGGAACACACACTTCAAGTTTCTTATGCCATGTTTCCACCATGGCGACGGGAGGAGGTCAGTCGCAGCCATGCCGACTGGGCATGGCTGCGACTGACCTCCTCCTCACTGAAAATTTTGCAGACGTCTGCCATTTTTGTAGAGGTCTGTCAGTGTGGTTGGCCGGGAGGAGGGATTTTAATTATACGGGCGTGTTGAGTCAACACGTCACGTATAAAATGGGAAATCTCTCTTGTCAGATGTGCATTTGACGGATTGTTTTTTTTTTTTACATAAATTTTAAGGAATTAGCCATCATTTACATGCTTGCTAATAATTGCCAATGCTAATGCTCGTCATTGTAACTAACTAGCTCTAAAATAATTGGCCACCACATACCTTTATGGGATGAGAGATCAAATGTTCAAATCTTATCTATCATTAAGTTGTTATTTAACATGAATTTTCTTAGATCCATATGTTAAAAGCGCTCCCATGATGAATAGTAAATGCAGGTGTAATCATGACAATTGAAAAAAAAAAAAAACGCTCGTCATTAAGGGCCAGGAACGCAGCTACTACTAACAAATCATCTTTTGACCAATAAAAATGCTCTAAATAAAATTATGAAATTCACTAATTCCATATTAAATATAATATCAATAGAATTGCGAGGCCTACATTTATCTATTTTGACTATATCATATTGATCAAGAATCAACCATTGAATTTAGGTAGTCTATTATCTTTCTCAAAATATGTTTTGATTCATCTTGACAAAGCTACTTGAAAGTGAAGCTTTTTGTTCTTTCGTTGAGTTTTTCTTACCTCAATTATCACTAAGAAACACCTTATCACTAGGATTAAGGTGATGGAGTTCGAATTCCCTGTGCCTTATTTCTCCTAACTCTAGTTACACTTGGTACTCCAAAAAAAGAAAAGAAAATTTAATTAGGTCGAAGAAAAGAAAAGACTTTAAGTTAACGGCTTTAACTTGTGTATCCTATATTCCTATGGCGGTAATAATTAGAGGAAAACTTCTCTGGAGTTGCATTGTAGCGTAAACTGCAATATTTGTACGCGTAGTTTGTGGGATGAAATAGAAGAGTACATTGTGTGGCTTGGCTTGTGGTTTCTCAGATTTGGAGTAGAAAATACGGCCGCACACTTACCAGTTACCACTGCCCCAGAAAGAGAGAGAGAGAGAGAGAGAGAGTATGTGTGTATTTATAAAAAAAAAGAAAAAAGAAAAAGCATTCTGTACTTTTGAGTTGAAGGACTCGTTAAAGTTGCAGTGTGGTGGGCTTGTTTGAGAAAATAAATCCATTTGGATGGGGAATATTTTGGGTGTTTGTATAAAATTTTATTATAATTTATTGTAAAAATTGTAATTTTTTTTGTAGGCTTGAGGGTTTTTAAGAAAAAAATTTATTTTTCCTTTTCTTTTTACTTTCTTCTTCCTTCTTTTTACCTCCCTCTCTATCCACCGTCAATTGCCACCACCACCTCATCCCTCCTTTTTTTGGCCTATTTCATCCTCCCTCTTTCTCCTCTTCCCCCTTTTTCTCTTCTTTTTTCTCCCACTTCTTCTTTGGTCACGTGACCAAAAAGGAAGGAAGAGGGGAAAGGAGGTGGGGGAAGGAAGAGAAATGAGAGGAGTGGAGGGGAGACGGAGAGGAGGAGAAGGGAGAGAAGGAGGAAAAAAAAAGAGGTTGGCATGCATTGGCAATGCACCCCGTCGGCGGTGGTGGGTTGAGGTGAAAAAAAAAAAGGGAAAGAAATAAAAGACTTATGTGTTTTTGAATTTTTTGGGGTGTGTATATTAAAAAGTTTGGATTATTTTGAGAGGGTTAGTTTATATAAAATTATAAAAAAGGGGTTAAAAATAAAAAGTCCCCTGTAGTATATTTTATACACAGAAAAGCCCCTGTGATTTCAAAACACACAAAACGACATCTCATGTTTTGAACTAAATTGTAAACTAACAGAATTCGTTACATTTAACGAAAATGACGGTCTCTACTGTTAAACTTATCGAATTCCGTTAAATTTATCGGATTCCGTTAAAATTTTCGTTAAGTTTATCGGATTCCATTAAATTTAACGAATTCTGTTAGCTTATAATTTAGTTCAAAATATGATATGTCGATTTATATGTTTTAAAATCACGAAAAGTTTTTTTGTATATTAAATATACCACGGAGAATTTTTTGTTTTTAACCCTTAAAAAAACAACAGGCGAAGTTGGCCGGTTGGTTCGCCAAAAAAAAAAAAAACAAAAAACAAAAGGAGTTGGCCAGTTGCCACGCTACCGAAGTTGGTGTCTTTGTTTTGTGGCAATAAAGGACATCATTCTTCTTGGGTAACAAATGCCATTGATTAGAGGGGGGATATCTGGGGAGGACAAAAGTGAAAAAAATACGAAAGCCGTCCTCTTCTTGGGCACCTCCCAGATTTGCCGTTGATTGCATCTGCGCTTCGGTTTGCTTCCCCCTGCAGTCACAAAAATACAAGAAGTTGGTGTATTTAATGTACAACGGTGCAATGCCGGCTGCCGCATCTGCCAGTTAATATTGAAGGCGCTATTTTACATTGCTTAGACGAAAAGATGCTCCTATTTACAGTAGTACCAGTACTACATTCTTATCCTTTCGCCCACCCATGATTGTGATTTGATTCGATTCATCGTCTTCTCTCTTGTGGATATTTGCTGCACCGATCGCCGCTTCACCACATTAAGCCAATTCCTGTTTCTGTCAAAACCGTGAGTTTTCCGTAACAACTCCCTTCCCTCCTCCAGCTCCATGATCTGTATACAATTTCATTCAAAAAAATAAATAAATAAATTAGTTTATCACCCGGGCACTCACGCAGGAGAAGGTCTGCATTTCCGCGGATAGTCTTTTATGATTACAACTGATAAGATGTTAAATTTTCCTTGTCTTTGCTATTTTGTTAAAATAAACAAGAGGCGGTTAATCTGCGCGGAAGAGAGAACCTGTTTTATTTTGTTGCTTTCTCATTTGACTCCGAGCTTTGATCGCCCTGAAAACTTCTTGCTCGTGTCTTAACTAAAATTCATTATTGATACGGATCCGAATGACAGATGTGTGATACATCAGCACAAAAAGTATCACATGCAAATGATACTATAAAAGGCATCAGGCCACCAGAACAACTGCTGCAAAAAAAAGGCCAAATTCTCCAGCTGTTCAACTGCGTAAGAGGACAAAGCAGTTTTGATCACCCAACCTGAAACCTTCGGACTAATATTGGATGCGTCTCAGACTAGCAACGATTTTAACTCTTTTTTTTTTTTTTAATGGCAATAACTAGCAACTAAGTATTAAATAAGGTGCCAACTTGCTGCTTGTCATGTTCTGAGGACCAAGACATCTTAGTCGGAGCTTCTTTGCTTCTGTTCTTCTTCCACACGTTTCTTTTTAGTAGTAAAAAATACAAGCTTTGTTTGGATTGTATTTTTCTGAATTTTTTTTTAGAAAAATTACTATAGCGATTTGATATATATGGGATAAAATAATAATTAAAAAATGTGTTCACGGAAAAATTGCTTTCCAAACAAGGCCTATTACTACTAGCACGCATCTACAGCTAGCACACCGCGAGTCAGGAAAGGCTAGCTAATGAGGAAAGAATGCAATTTTAGATATCTTCAAATGAACAAAATACTGGAGTACTACTTCTGTAAGGAACTGAGTATATTATATGCATGGTCATCCTCTTGGAAGTAATTTAGCTTTTCCGATTTGGAAGTAAATCAAGTTCGGTTGAGGAGGAGGTTGGGGAAACACAAACATCACCGAGCAGGATATGGAGAACAGAGCAGAGGAAGAGTTCAGATCGCCGCTCATTTTGACGGACAAGGAAGATGGCTGCTATGGTGATGAAGAGAAGACTGTAAAGAGTACCAAGGAGGATAGATGGATGGTTTACCTCAGTACCTTCGTTGCAGTTTGTGGTGCTTATGAGTTCGGGTGCTGTGTAAGTGATTGACTTCCATTGTCTTCAGTCTTCCTTGTAAAAAGATGGATGGATTCTTCTGCACATGTATTACGTCTACTTCCAATAACTCTGTGTGTGTGTGTGTTCATTAACTTTTCAGGCAGGCTATTCATCACCTACGCAATCTGCCATAAGGGAGGATCTCAATCTTTCAATATCAGAGGTTTGTTCCCTGACAACACACTTGATACGCAGATGCAGTTCTGTCTAGTGCACATGAATTACTCACAAATCCCACAATAAGGACATAGACTCTCAAGGGCAATCACCACAGGTCCTAATTCTTGTGCACCCAAAGTGATCATGTCTTTTACCAGGCCTCTGTTCTGACCTCTTAAGTTTTACAGATTAAAGGGGTTATTTCACTAGATATCAAGGAAGAAAACAATAATACTAGCAATTATAGGCTTTTCATCAAGTAGTTATCCAAGGAGATGAATGTAGCATCAATTAATTAAATTAGCATTAATGAAGACACCCTAAAAACTGGTAAGTGGAGACATTGCTTCAAAGATTTTGAGATTTCAAAATGTCTCAACAGGGTTAACCATGTCGAATTGTGGTTAAGAGGAGTCTTAAGAGATTTTCTGCAGCTTGTTACAATGCAACCTGGTTTAAAGTGATGAAGTAAATGACTTTGACTCGAATAACTTACTGTACTTCATTGCAAGTAAAGCCTGAAAAACACTTTAACTTTTGATATTAAGTTTTAGCATGAAAACAAGAACAAAAAATTCAGAACTTTCTTACTGGTGATTGTATGCAGTACTCACTGTTCGGTTCAATATTGACTTTCGGGGCAATGATTGGAGCTATTACAAGCGGTCCAATTGCTGATTTCGTTGGTAGGAAAGGGGTAAGCTAGATAGTACAAACCTGAACCAGCTGCTATCAAATAATTTTCCCAACTTTATTGCTTCTAGATCTGGTAGTGTATATTGATCATCAGTTCAATTCAAATGGGAGCAGGCGATGAGACTGGCAAGCGGTTTCTGTGTGGCAGGCTGGCTAGCCATTTATTTTTCTAAGGTAAATCTACAATAACCACTTAATATTTTCTTCTCCTAGGAATTGGAGAGAATTTGACTTGTCTAAAAGATGTTTACAAAAACATCATGGGCATAGAAAACTGTAACTGATATATGAGTGCATTGTTACAGGGGGCTGTGCCTCTGGACATTGGAAGAATGGCAACAGGATATGGAATGGGAGTCTTTTCTTACGTGGTAGGTAATCCTGCGAATCACTAAGCGCCTCAGATAAATTTCTTTTAGCTTGACGTGAATGTTCCTGATGATCAGGTACCTGTCTTTATAGCTGAAATTGCACCCAAAGATTTGCGGGGTGCTTTGACCACAATAAACCAGGTAAAAAGCAATCAACACATAAACATGACCTGTATGGAAGTAAACTAGGTTTCATGGGTAACAACAAAAGCAAAAGAATTTGGCCTTTAAAGATCTGACATCATGCCTTTGTTTCCCTCTGATCCTACAGTTCATGATTGTTGCTGGAGTATCTGTGTCCTTCATAATAGGGACCTTGCTAGCATGGAGGACTTTGGCTTTAGTAGGTAAGTCTTGATACTGGGTAAAATCCACTTACCATTATACTGGGCCCTAAAGCAAGCGTCTGCTAACTAGAAGTCGAAACAAATTGAGGACCTTAAGATGATGATGGTCATTAAAGGAACTCACCAATCATGTGCTTGCAGGACTTATACCATGTGCCGTTCTGCTTCTGGGCCTCTTCATGATTCCAGAGTCTCCCAGATGGCTAGTAAGGAACAAGTCTTGAAATTTAATACTTTCTGCAATTTGATAAAAGGGTTAGCATAGAAAATCAGTGAAGCTGATACTTAAACATGTCTACAGGCAAAGGGGGGACGCCGAAGAGAGTTTGAAGTAGCATTACAAAAACTTCGTGGCAGCAAAGCTGACATATCTGAAGAGGCTGTTGAAATCCAAGTTTGTGTTTTTCTCAGCTCTTGATTATTTCATTGAGAGGTGCACCGAGACAGCAGATAATGATAAGTTTTTATGCAATTTCTTTGACAGGACTATATAGAAACTCTTGAGCGGCTCCCAAAAGCTAAAATAGTAGATCTTTTTCAGAGAAGATACTTACGCTCAGTCACTGTAAATACATCTTTCCTTGTCTCCTATATGAAGTTGTTCTCTCTCTTTGTTTCCCCCACGGTTTTTTATTGAAATCATACAATGGATTTAGTGTATAATTATGTTTTTTTTTGATATCTACTTTGGATATCTTTTCATCAACTCCAATAATCAGAAATTGAAACTCCACTTTTTCTAGAGTAATTTGCATAATTGACTTTGTGGGCAGATAGGAGTTGGCCTCATGGTTGTTCAACAACTTGGCGGGATCAATGGAGTCTGCTTTTACACCAGCAGTATTTTTGAGACAGCAGGTAAAATGTCCCCCCCCCCCCCACCCAAACCAAACCCTTGCCCCAAAAAAATACCCCACCCCTCTTCCTTCCCTTTCTCTCTCTCTATACAACAACTGACACATTTACCCAAGATGAACCAATTCATGCAAGGGAAGGAGAAATGTCTCAAGAATTAGTAAATGCATTGTCATGACATGTTATAGTTTCTAAGTATTTGTTAGTACTTTATTCGTCATAGATGACATGTTTAAATTGCTTCTTTCACAAGAATATTGTTTTAGCTTTTGGTATCTGTCATGATACACATGGGTATGCATATCAAGAAAGAGAAGACATGTCATGGGCACGCAATAATGGGACTATCCACAACAACAACCGTTTCCTTCACTTTCTAGAGTTTAGTTTTGAATGCCCAACCTTCAAATTGAAATTTATACTGCTTGTCTTCTCATTTGTAATTCCCTAGGATTCAATCCTGATGTTGGAACAATTACATATGCTATTCTTCAGGTTCTATCTCTACTCATGTGTTCTACAGAGAAAAAAAAAAACTAAGAATATCATTTTCATAAGAAGTTTGTTTGTTTTCCTATTGATTTTTTGTTGCATTTTATTTTCCAGGTCGTGATCACAGGATTAGGGGCAACCTTAGTTGACAGAGCAGGAAGAAAACCTCTTTTATTGGTAACTATCCATACGAAATGCCTTAATCTGTAACTATGTTATGGAATACAGTCGTATTTGGTCAATGAAAGACTAAACCTGGAATTCTAGGTTTCTGGAGCAGGACTAGTAATAGGCTGTTTATTAACAGGGATCTCATTCTACCTTAAGGTGAACACTTGTCCCAGCATCATCCAAGTAATTTTAACGCTTTTTTTCAAGTTCAAAAGATTTTGATGCTAGAGTCGTGTTCTTGACAGGTTCATGAACTAGCACTGAAGACAGTCCCAGTACTTGCTGTAACTGGAGTACTGGTAATATTACAATCTCCTCAATCCTAATCTTCCAAAATACCATAAATCCACTCCCCAGGCTATGCTACTCCAACTTGTCTCCTTATCCCCTTGCACCTACGAAACATGGAAAAACCTTGAAAAAGGAAATCCTATATACAACGTAACTGGTGTTACAATATCTTGAAAAGTTCAGGTCTACATAGGGTCCTTTTCAGCAGGTATGGGTGCAGTGCCATGGGTTGTGATGTCAGAGGTAATTGTTTCTATACTGTTCATCATCATCTACATTCTACATTTCTAGTGGAGACCTCTAATTGAGAATTGTCTTTTGTCGTATGTGTTAAAGATATTCCCTATAAATATTAAAGGAGTGGCTGGAAGCTTGGCAACACTAGTGAATTGGTTTGGTGCCTGGTTGTGTTCCTACACCTTCAATTATCTGATGACTTGGAGCTCCCCTGGTAAGCAAATATATAATGTTCTTCCTGATAAGACCCAAAAAATCGTGCAAAATGCCATAAAAATGGCTGGACAGATTTTAGGTTAAATAATTTATCCTACAGAAAGAGTCACTCCAGATTCTTTTGCAAAGATCTGCATACTGTGCATACTTACTGTCACTTTAGTTGGCACTCGTGCACTTACCAGAGGCAACAGAAAGATTGACAACTTGCTCTGGCCAATGTCTTCATATGCCATTAGGAACAGTTTACTGCATCGAGGTTGGTTTCCATTACAAGAAATGTACTTAAGTTCATGAATGTGTGTATAGGAACCTTTATTCTTTACGCTGCAATCAATGCACTTGGAATCTTGTTCGTGACCATAGTAGTACCTGAAACCAAAGGTAGATCGTTGGAACAAATACAGTCTGCAATTAATGCCTCACATTGACACGAGATTGAAGAAGCATGCTTCCTACTTGTCTCTATATGGGACTTTTATAATTCAACAGCACTGCAGAAGGGTTCAGAAGCTCAGGAGGACACCTTGATATAATTTTCATAAATTATGAAATTTCAATTTAAAATGTTCAATTGTGTTATTAAACACATCCTCTGATTTGAGTTCCAATGTCTACTGGCATATCATGCATATGTTTCACAAAAGAGAATACAGAGCATAAACAACTGTGGCAAGGTCAATGACAGAAAAGAACAAGTAAACATAGCTTCATAATATTGGACTTTTAGATCAACATGCATAACTATTCCACAAGTAATGGCAAGAAGCTTGCATCCGTACGTATTCTCCATTCTACAAATACCATGTGCAAGTTACCAATTTGAATTTTGAAGGATGACAACACCATAGAGGAGAAGAAGCATTTAATTGTGTTTCCTCTTTTGCTTGTGGATGTTCTAATGTATGGTCAAGATATTTACCCGACCAATCTCTGCAACTGCTGGTAATTTTACCATGAAGTACTTTTTACATCTATTAACCAGGACATTAAAAAAATGGTAATTTATAAATCAAAAGATGACAAGAATAGGAATCAAAAGATGTTGATCACAAATGATAAAGCTCACATCCAACAGAGGCTTGAAACTTGTAAATAGAATCCCATGCAAAGATGGGTAAAGCACTAAAGGTTGTAACAGTGACAATAGCAGACGATTTCCTAGGACTCAGCAATCTGATGGCTTCTTATAATTTTTGGTGGCTTATATTGACCTGCTGTGGACCCATTTTCCACTGCTACTTGAAGCAAACTGAAAGCTGCCAGCTTTTTACCTTCATCAACTGGTATAAGACTCCTAGACGGGTCTGGAGAAAACAGCAACACCTCCTGATATCGCCAAATAGCTGCTCGGATTTCCAATCTCCATTACTCCCACGGCGCCCTTGTTCTGCCTGGGCTCCAATTGATCGTCTAAAAAAAAACTCCCAAACTCTTATAACTTGTGCTGCCGTAGCATCTGTTGCCACCAGTTGAAAATTTTTTACTGCAGACACCAGACAGCAGATCCCTTTCAGATATGGCTTCATCAGAAGATTTAGGAGCTCTCATTAGTAACTGAATCCGCGGTAATGAGATATAAAAACCAACAACTTTTACCATATCACCCAGAGGGCATCGAAACAATCCCCCTGTTTTAAATTTCAGTTGTCCATAGTGCTGCCTTGCTACTTACCATAGTTTGGTTATAATCATGGTTCAAAGTGGCGGTCGCGGCTTGGACTGTTCCACATCGGCGTATCGGTTGCGGTCTCGACGAGACGCGAATTTGTGAAATATTTCTAAAAATTGTAAAAAATATGATGAACAAAAATAATTAGTAAAAATAATAAAAATTCGAATTGACTCGGTAAGACTCGACCGTTTCAACCCTTCACGGTGACGTTTCGGCGAGTCACGTATCTCGGTATCGTTTCGTCATGGTCTCGTCTCAGCCTAGATGACTCGGCCGAGTCATCTCAGTTTCGGTCAAGTCTTCGAACACCACTCCAATTCTTTTTTTTTTTTTAAAAAAAAAGGTAATTTGAACGGACACTTTTGGATAAACCAAGTTGGGCCCCGAAAGAACCAGAATATCTTATTCACTCATTGCAAGCAAGATCTGTAATTTTTAAAATATGGACATTCTGGAGATGCTGCCATCAATAATTGGTTTCGAAAGGGCAAATACACTGATGAGGAGAGCAGCAAATGGTGCTCGAATCCATGAAAAACGTAGCATTCCCTAAGCGCGCAAAGGAGGTGACGGAACATTTGCTGGTAACCATCTGAGCCTACAAGTAACTTCTTTTGGACTAACGGCGGTCGAGAGAAAGCGACAAAAATTTGAACGCTTACCGTGGAAAGAACAGGTAGAGGCGGCCATGACCTCCTTTCCACCTTTAGCATCTGCAACATTGCCTGCGTAATTGAGCCCTAGAACTTTGTTTGCCTGGGCTCTAGGGGCCTGGAAGGAGATAGCCTGTGGGCAGATCGACACGATGAAAAAAAAATTAGTGAAAAGAAAGCAAAATAGAATCTATAAAATCCATATGAACTTGCGTTAATAGTACTAGTGGAAAATATGAAGGTGCCTCCGAAATTTTGCAGTACTGCTGGAATCTGGAATTGTAAGCCAAGAGAGAAGCTGCTGTTCCGGGCTTGAGTCCAAATCGGGTAGTAGTATTAGTTTTGGTGTCAATGAAAAGATCCAAAAACAAAAACAAAAAAGAGATTAGAGGGAAAAAAATACTAAATAATTTAGAAGGTGAACGTCTCTGAATTGTTACTTTTGGTTCATATCATTTGAAGCAGAGGCATGCGTGTTATTTAACTGATACTACTTATGTGTGTGCTAATTCTCTCTGTTCTAAGGGGACTGCAAAATAATACTAAATAAATAGCCACGTAGGCATAAAATCCCAAATGCCTGCCTGTGACTTTGCCAAGAAACAGATCTCCTGCATG